TGAGTGGTGCGGCTGATACAGTTGTACTACTGAGTCGTTCGGCCGATACACATGTACTACTGAGAGGTGAGGCTGATACAGTTGTATTACTGAGAAGTGCGGCTGATACACCTGTACTACTGAGTTGTGAGTCCATTACAATTGTATTACTGATTGGTTCCGCTGATACAGTTGTACTACTGAGAGGCGCGGCTGATACAAATGTACTACTGAGAGGTTTGGCTGATACAGTTGTACTACTGAGTGGTCCAGCTGACACAAATCTACTACTGAGAGGTTCGGCTGATACAAATGTACTACTGAGTGGTGCATCGGATACAGTTGTACTAATGAGTAGTTCGGCTGATACAGTTTCACTAATGAATGTTGCAGCTGATACAAATATACTACTGAGAGGTTCGGCTGATACAGTTGTACTAGTGAGAGGTGCAGCTGATACTGTCGCTGTTGGTATTGCGGTAGTTTTTGGAGATGTGGTTGGTACTGTTGCATTCACAGTAGGTCGTATCTCATCAAGAACTCGAAGGTCGACAGAGTCGTTCACTGTCTTTGTTATCCCGTTCGCTTGCGAAAAAGCAATTTCAATTCTAAAGACATACACCGAGTTATTCAAGAGAACATCAACTGTGCTGTTATCCAAATTGTACCCTTGCTTCGTGATGTCATTCAAGATGAAATATACATATCCCTGACGAGATGATTCGTTTAAACCGACGTGAAGCTGAAATTTGGACACTTCCGTTTTTATCTTGCCATTGCTAGAATTAAAGAATCCAATCTCTTTCTTCGTAAGTGTTTCATCATTTTTTCGATACCTTATGATTCTGACCGAGTCTATAACAACACAATTACAGTCAGTGAAGTCAAACTCCCATGTCAGGGTGACGTTTGTGCTGTTTTGTCCGATAACAACGACCAGTGGGTTTGGTGGTTTCTTGGTGAATCTTATGGTGTTGTTCCTACTTCCATCTGGTACAGATGGCGTAGTGGTAGTTGATGCAACTGTAGTATATCCAGGTGTTGGAGTGGTAGCACCGACCGTTGTCGTAGCCTCTGTAATCCCTGTGAGAAAATAAAAAATGATTCAAACTTCCATTTCGATTTTTAAGTCAATCGTACCTTGATCTAGATCCACCCAGTTGTTGTTTCAGATCTTGGTAAAATTCGAGGTATTCCTTTTATTGCCAGTCTAAATTTTAGTTTTTTTGTAAATGAAAATTCTTGCAAGTAATAATGCAATACAAATTCATTTTGCACGGAAGCATTTCCGTCTTTTTTTTTTTGATGCCAAAAGCTCTTTTCAAGTTAATTTCCAAGGACACGAGCTAAATTGTACGCATGCGTGTACGTTATTTAAAAAAATTGATATCTTGTACCCAGAGCCATTATTTCTTACTGCGCATGCTCGACGAAATAAATAGGCTATCGATCTCGTACCTAGAGTCTGCGTTTCTTCTGGCCTGCGGCGAAGAACGAGGGGCTCTGGCATAATCCATCTTTTAAGACCAGGATTT